CCGCCCCCGCAGATGGCTTTGCTTGTCAGTGAGCGGGCCCGCGTGGGCTTTTCGGCACCCTGAGCGTGCCGGAGCCCACGCAGGTTGTGGGCTTCAGCGTGGCTTGGGTTTTGGTGGCAGAGATCAGCGCTGCTCAAGAATCCCTTTGGGCTTCAATACGTATTTCGTAGTTTAAAGATACGTCTTTAAAATGTTGGCGATGTTGTGGTACTGTTCACTTTTGAACGGGGAGGAGCGGGTTCCCCTCTCGGTGCGTTCGGCTCAGCAGAAGCCGCGGAGGCGGGCGCGCATCCCCGACTGTCCCCGGGCTACCCGAGGAAGAAGGGTGCGGGGCGGAAAGCGGGAGAAGCCCTGGCAGCACCGCCGGTGCGGAGTTACTGAGGGGTTAAAGAGAGAGACATCTACAGAAACCCGACTGACCTCTGCCCAAAGGGTTTAGTGAGGTCATGGGACTTGGCAGTGTTTTCCTTTTGTGCTGTTGATAAGAGCGTGGGGACTGATTCGGTCGGTATCGCCCATCACCAGGGAGCACAGTTTACTGCAGAAGAGCTTTAAAGAACCAACACCCCCACCCCCCCCTCCCCATTGCTCCACACGTTATTGTCATGTCAAACAGGAGGCTTACCGGGCAGTGCTTGAGGGTGGACTTTGCCCTCTGTTTATAGTATGATTTCATCTCTCTGTGAGCGAAAGTAAACACCGGGAGAAGCCGAACAGCGGCCGAGATACAGAGCTCCACCTGAAGCTGGGACGTCCGCAGGCTTCGGCGGCGAGGTTTTTCCACACAAAGGGTTTAGTGAGGTCATGGGACTTGGCAGTGTTTTCCTTTTGTGCTGTTGATAAGAGCGTGGGGACTGATTCGGTCGGTATCGCCCATCACCAGGGAGCACAGTTTACTGCAGAAGAGCTTTAAAGAACCAACACCCCCACCCCCCCCTCCCCATTGCTCCACACGTTATTGTCATGTCAAACAGGAGGCTTACCGGGCAGTGCTTGAGGGTGGACTTTGCCCTCTGTTTATAGTATGATTTCATCTCTCTGTGAGCGAAAGTAAACACCGGGAGAAGCCGAACAGCGGCCGAGATACAGAGCTCCACCTGAAGCTGGGACGTCCGCAGGCTTCGGCGGCGAGGTTTTTCCACGTAGAAAAGTGCTCGTGTGTGCGTGCATGTGCCTGCGTGTGTACACACACACTTAACGCAAACCACTTCTTTTTGCGCTACGCGTAATAATCCTCCTTGTAAGAAGGATGTTTTTTCTCTCATCTTCCGAGCGCTGTGCGTGAGTTTTAGGCATCGGTAAAAGGAACATGACCGTGCTTATCTTCCAACTCATGCCAAGGGCTGCGTTGTGGGGGTGGTGTTTACATTTACACGTGGAATAGGTTAGATGAAAATTGCCTCGAAAGTGCAATATAATAAAAGGGAAATTAACCTCAGCAATATCGGTTCTTGCCAAGACTTCATCCTATTTACCAATTCTGGTATTTCCATTTTTGTATTTACCTTGCTTCAAACCAAGAAGGGTTCCCCTCCCGAAACCTGGCTTTATTTCGCACGTACAGGTAATCTTGCTTAATTCAGTGAGTTGACTCAAGCTTAAAATAAAAGATGCAAATGTCATCGTAGGAGTGATTTCTGTCGCAAAGATAGCACGCTGACTCCGCTCGAGCGTTTCCTGACACAGTAATAGCAAGCATTATTGAGCTGCTCTCAAATTCTCCCCGACTTCCCTTGTTGGAACAATAATGTTACGAAGTGGAGAGGCATTAATATTATAGAATAGAGCATCTATTATTAGCTGTGATGTAATACCATTGATGTAATTTTCAGAGAGACAGCAAAACAACAGCTTTCCATACCATGGAACTATAACGTCAATTAAGGACCGCTGAATTAAGCTAAAAGACTCTTGCACAAAAAAAACCCCAAACAACTGTTTCTGTCCTTCATGAATTATTTAATACATTTAAAAAGTAGGACTTTTTCAGCTTTCCCCTGAGGTAGGATGGATGCAGGGACAAAAAAAAAGAGGACTGATAGCAAGGAGAAGAATCAGGTTCACTTTTCTTGCTGCCAGCTGTCAGAGCAGACGTCCCTCCTTCGTTGAAAGAAGGCCGTGACGGCTGTTCCACGCTCTTTCCTGCTGCCAGGGGGATTGTGGTGCCAGGAAATTTCCACTGCACGTGACCGAAGGAAGATACACTGCATTTTGCGGCTGCTTTCATAGTTAAACCAGGGAATATGTAATAGCTCCAGTTATATTAATTATTAAATTTAACTGCTTCTTTGTAGTTGCGTCCTTGAAACTGAGCCTATTACCATAGGTTGATACGGTAAATCATGTTTATTATCTTGATATTATTTGGGGAATTAAGGCTCTTGGGGAATATCGATTTGTATCAGTCATTTGCTGTACGCCAACACACTGCAAACTGCTCATTTCAGCTACTGTCTTGATGGATCTGTTTTTTAATAAGTGATTTGTCTTACAGAGTGAATAATTTATTTTACCTTTATTTCTTCCTCAGAGACTCTTCAAATCTCTGGAGTTCATTATATAATACCTTATGGTTTTGTATGGCGCCTGTCACAAAATGTCAGTAACCTTAATATATGTCAGCTGCCTCAATCTCTCATGTTGGAATTTCGTATGCATAAATCAGGCCTCTCTACACAGCCACTAATGCCATAACATTTTAGATACGATTTCTCTCACCCAGTTTTCACTGCAAATTACAGTTGTTGAGATCATTTTGAGGAAAACACACGTGCTTCCTCAGAACAGTATCAGTACAAAAAAAGATACTCCTACAGCCATTTGGTAATTGAAGCTCTTTGCATCTCATGTGCTTGAACAACGACTTGAGGTTTGGCATCTGAGTGACCTGGGTTTTTTTAGGTATTCTGGGGACATCTAGGCATGCTTTGTCATGCTATGACCTTCCACAAACCTCCGTTTACTCATGATCTGATGCTTGTTGGGGACTTTCTTTCTGAGGACTGGGCAGGCCCATGCCACAGCGTCTTAAGACCAAAACGCCCCCAGGCACCGTGGACAATAGCGAGAGGATTAGGCCAGGTGTCAGGGCCCTCCTGTCTGGCTCGCAGCATTCAGAGGGTGAGGAGGCCAGGGCCTGGCACCAGTCCCCAAGGGAAACACGCCCCTTCCCTTCAGGGCCTCCGCCGCGCCCCGGCCTCGCCAGGCACCCTCCGCACTTCTCCTCCCTCGCAAGCATGGCTACCGAGAGTTTGGGCTGACGTGGTTGCCAGCCCTGAGCAGAGGAAGACGGCCCAGCTCTCCCTGTCACCGAGACAAGATG